TGTACAGCTCAATTTAGAGCACCTTAGCAACCCCTCCCTCACCCATCCCCTCTGAGCGCAGAGAGCTCCTTTTCAACTGCAAATCCTTTGTTACACTAGGAAGGCCTCCCGCAAGCAGGAACTAAGGGTATCTGAGAATTAACATAGGTGTAGGCACCGCCCAGACCCTCCTCCAGCCAAGGCCAGGGCAGACAGAGTGATGGGATTCCTCCCACCTCCAAGTTAAGGATGATATAAAAATGACCTAAATAAAATGCGTCCCTTTTGTCTGCATGTGGTGCCTCCATTCCCCCTAGCAGAGACCCACCTGTAATCCCCCACCGTCCTGAAATAAAACTCTTATTTCCCTTGCTACATCCGTGTAGAGCGCTTGGATTCATTCTCGTCAGAGTGCAAGAGCCAAAATCTTCTGATCAGAATTACCAGTGTCTTCAACACTGCCACTCCAGAGGCCTTGAGCTGTCACTGATGTGAGGGAGAGAGTAAATGGGAACAGCTTCTGGTGAGTGAAAGACTGGGAACACGTTTTTGTCCCAAGTTGGGATACAGCTCAGTAGCAGAGCCTGCCTGGCATACACGCAAGGCCCTGAGTTCAATACTCAGCTGTCCCGGAGACAGCTGGCACAGCAGCATGGATAACCTCGTGCTCCATACCTTTGCAAGTGCTGAGGACGGGGGTGGGATGGAGCAGCTGCAGCTTTGCACCCCAGGCTTCCATCCCCAGAACAGGGGGAAAAAATGTTAGGATGGCCAATATTTTGCTACATGTATTTTACCACAATTAAAAAACAGAAAAGGAGGGAGAGTGGTTTATAAAGCAGAGAAAGTGAAGCCTGCCAATTTCCCATGGCTAGGAAACTAATTAAATAAATGATCACCCAGACAAATTATGACTTAGAAAGAGGGATCAGCGGGCTGTGGCACCTGGGCCAACTCCAGGTGTGAATAGCTTTGCTGGTACACCTGACACAGTTTACTTGCTAACTCTCCATGGCTGCCTCCTATGGTAACAGCAGAGCTGGTACCTCGTGGTCCACAAACCTAAAATACACTTATTCTTTTCAGAAAACTTTGCCAGCTCATGACTTAAAAGATCAAAGACCCAGAAAAACACCCAGAAATATGTGATGGGAGGAAAGCAGGCTGTACACAGAACCACACTGTGTCTTTCTTTTAAAATTTGGGCTGAGTTCCTGTGGTCCAGCTACTTGGGAGGCTGCAGCAGAAAGATCACTTGAGCCCAGGAGTTCTGGGCCAGTCTGGGCAACACGGTGAGACTCAGGCTTTTTTTTTTTTTTTTGGGGGAGGGGGGAGTTAGGTGGGTGGTGAAGGAGGGTGCTAGAGATTGAACCCAGAGCCTTGTACTTGCAAGCGCTCCACCACTTGACCAAGTCCCACGTCCTTTTGTTTTTATTTTGTTTTCAAGACAGGGTCTTGCTACCTTTTCCCAAGCCGGTCTTGAACTCTCAGTCCTCCTGCCTCCAAGTGGTGTGGTGTACCAGCACACCCGGTTCACGCACACACACACAATTAGATCACACTGTGATTATCTCTGGATGGTGGGAACATAGATGAGTTCTGTTTTCTTCTTTTGTAACGGGCTTTTATTATAGGGGCACACAAACAACAAATTCCCTTTTATCACTAACTTGGCCCTCTTGGGGAGTGGATGCTGAGGCTGGTTAGAACAGGGCATTTTCCAAGTCATGGGCCTATCATTACTAACAGGACCTGTTCACAGCAGGGGAGGGGGAGGCAAGGTCCCATGACCAGCCCAGACCTGTGCCTTGTTCACAATCTCCTCTCTTCCTTAAACTGCCCTGCACCCGGGGGCTGGACTTGATCCTGGGACTCAGCCTCACTGGCTGGGGGTGGAGGGTAGGGGAGAGCTCGCTGGAGGGAATCCTGCCCCAGGGAATTCAATGAGAAAAGTATGTGGGGTGCTTGGCACCAATTTTTTTAGGCCTGCTGAGCGCTTCAGATTTCTGACTGTGGTCACCAAGTGATGTCACCCCATCTACCTCCTCTGCCCTGTGACTGCTGTCTTTCTAATCCTCCTGGGTGCTGTTAGTGCTCCATTTTACAGGTGGGGAAGCTGAGGTTCAAAGAGGCTTGGTGACTCTCCCGAAAGTCACACAGTGGGCATGGACTGGAGCGGTGCAGGGCTTTGCCCATGCTAGACAAGTGCTCCATCACTAAGTCACACTCCCATCCCTGGAACTAGAGATTGGGCCTGGCCTCCACCACATGGCTTGTCCAGGCTATACTTTTTGGCTGGTTCATTAATAGTGCAGGGTCAGCTGAACATGTCACAAACATCCAAAAGGCACTACATCCTATTCTCAGAAAGGAGACTTGAAGGTCAGAGGCCCCAGGGGGGCAGGGAGAGGGCACGCCGTGAGCGCTGACAGGAGATAGCATCTGAGCATACCCTTGTTGGGCTGGGTGCTCCCTCCAAATCCCAGGCTGTCACATGATGAGTGGGGCAAGAGGCCTTTCAAAAAGAACAAGCTAGGGAGGCTACATGGAGGAAGTTTCAGACAGGGCTGAGAGCAAAACTACGCCTCAGCCGTGGCTGCCTCACCGACAATATAGACAGCCCAAATGTGGACTGGTGAGCAGGTCTCAGTGCTGGCCTCTATCTGCTCACTGCCTACAAAGCTGCCAGGCGGGTGGGGCAGGGCCCCTCACACAACCCTATCTGGATGCAGAACTCACATTCCAGTTTCAGAGCAGAAGGTCCTCCCTTGTTTCCCCCTGGTCTTTGGCTACTCATTAACCAGCAGGAAGGCCTTGGGGAAGGGGCTGGGCTCTGAAGGCTTGTGGGGGAGGGGGGAGCTGCAGTCAATGAGTTCCAATCACTAATAACCATGTCACTGTGGGAGAGGTCACTTCACCTCTGAGCCTCATCATAATCAAGATTAATATCAATGTCCATGACCTCACAGTGCTATCGTGGGGCCTGCACCCGCTTCTATAAGGGGCTTAGCTATGCCTGGCACAGAGTAAGGGTCAACACCTTCGTCATTTTTACAAAATAAATAAATAAAAAAGAACACCCACCTGCAAAGGCTACTATGGAATAAAATGAGCTAATGTGCCACACCTCCCAGCTGCACCAAGCACAGAACCCTGCCTGAGTCCACTACAGGTCAGCAATCATTACTACTGGCATAGAACGACTAAGGTGACTCCAGAAGATGATGCCAAGCTGGTCATCTCCCTGCCCTCAGGGACGTGTTCTGGGCCACTAGGGACAAATCTGCCTGAGGTCATGGTGTGAAGAACACATCTCCATGGGCTGGGCTGCTTGTGTGAAGGAGCACAGGTTAGGGAGGGGGCTCAATGACAAGCATACACAAGGGTTCGGCCATGGGAGGCAGCAGACCCAGGGGTCTCTGGGAGCCACAGACTGGCTTTTCTCTTAGTCTTGGCTTCATAGGTGGAAATCAAACCACACCCAGCCCTGGAGCAGTGGGAACTTAACTTTCTTCCTTAGAAATTTCTGGGGAGCATAGCACAGTGGTAGAGAGCACGCCTAGCATCCACAAGGCCTGGCTTCCACCCAGCACTGCAAAAAAATAAATAAAATAAAATAGGAAAAAAGTAAAAAGAAATTTCTGTCCTGTCCAGGAAGGCAGGGTTTCCAAATTCCAGAACACAGACCAGAAGGTGGGTGATGAAATCAATTGAAAGGGTGAAGACTATGGTGTACCTAAAAAGAACCAGTACAGGAGAGAGCCGGAGCCAGGCAAATGGTTCACACCTGTGATCCTAGCTACTCCAGAGGCTGAGATCTGGAGCATGGCAGTTCAAGGCCAGCCCGGGCAAATAGTTCATAAGACGCCCCCCCACATCTTCAAAACAACCAAAGCAAAATGGACTGAAGGAGTGATTTTAGTTGTAGAGCACCTACTTTGCAAGCACAAAGCCCTGAGTTCAAACCCCAGTCCGAGAGAGAGAGAGAGAGAGAGAGAGAGAGAGAGAGAGAGAGAGAGAGAGAGAGAGAGAGCACGAGAGCAGCATGCTGGCTTAGGATCCCTAAGGATCCCAGGGACAGAGGTATTTCTTACTGAATGCCAGGATTAAAGGACTTTGAAAGGCAAGGATGTTTAAAATCAGCTAAATCAGCCTAAAGAAGACCCACATTAAGCCCCTCTTAAAGACACTATTGTGATCCTGAGCTAAAAGAAAAACACGCAAGCAAGGCTGTAAATACCAAGACAATCAGCAAAATGTCATTAAGGCTTGTAGATTAGATTAGAGAATTGTGTCAATGTTAGAAGTCCTGAGTTGATAATTGTGCTGTGTAAGACAATGGCCTTGCTCTGATGAAATACTTGAGGGACTGGGTAAAGGGACACCCTTCTTGCTACGTACTTCCTGATGAATCAGCAGAAACAAATTTTCATGTGACTATGTCTAGAGAGAAGGAGACGAGACAGAAGTGCCAATCTTAACTATGGGAAAATCTAAGTGAAGGGTACACAGATCGTCACTGTAATATTCTTGCAACTTTGCTGAGGGTTTTCAATATTTTTTCTTAAATAAAAAGCTCAATGGGGTCAAGGTTGGAGCCCAGTGGTGGAGCACTTGCTTAGCACGTATGAGACCCTGGTTACCATCTCCAGCACTGCAAATAAAATGAATTCAATAGATCAGAGACGATGACTGACAGCACCTGCACTGGGATGCTAGGCCACCCTTGCATGTGGGTCTGGCCCCATCCTCAAAATCAACTCAGCAAGGTCCCCATCCCCATGCCACATCTGCTCCCTGGCAGACTGCATTCACGGGCACAGGCCAGAGTCTGCACAAAGGGCCAACCCAGGAGACCTGCCGCAGTGAGCTGCCTGAAACAAGGTCCCGGGGGCTCGTGGGTCCTGTCTTCTTCTCCTAGAGCCTGGAGGAGACACCGAACTTCTGAGAACCCCACTCTGGATGGTGACTGCCACACACATGGGTGAGACTGATGCCACAGGGAGGTCAAAGCTACTTACGTTTTGGAGGTTCCTGGGAAGAGGTTGTGCTTTGGGCTCTGGATCTATGACAGAGAGGAAGCAGAGAAGAGATCTGGTTAGGCCCTGACTGTACATACGGCTCCAGGTCTTCTTCCCATGGGTGACCCCAAACATACACATGCTAGGGAAGGGTCTTGGCAACCCCCCGGCCTGGAACCGGAAAAGCAAGGTGCTGAGGCTCACACACACACACATATGCACACACTGAGCCACACTCATCCACGTGCTCACACAGACCCACGTGATTCTCAGACACATATGCAGACACACACTCCTGCTCACTCCCATGCAGCCCTCTTCTGGATGCCCTCTAAGCTCAGCCAGCAGCCCGTTCTAGTGATCACCCCGCTCACTGTCCACCATGCTCAGAAGGGCAAGATATGTCCCTTTTGCTGGTTGCAAACAAGTAAGCCACCCGCCAGCCCTGACCAGAAAGTCCTCATTCCTGAGAGCCCCCAGCCAGCTCTGTCATGTGCCCACGTCCCAGGTCCATGACTGGCTGTTCCTTACAGACACAGCAAGGCTAGATAGAGGGGAGGGGAAGGCCCTGGGAACCCCAAGATTCTTGGAGGATATGATGCACTTCTGCCAGGAAAACCAGCTGCACTTTGCTGAGCCAAGCAACCCTTGGCGGGGGCTGACCAACAGCCATTTCATGGGCACTTATTTATTTTTATTCATTTACTTACTTATCTCTGCAGTGCTGAGGATGGAACCCAAGGCCTCATACATCACTAAGCAAAGGCTGTACCACTGAGCTACACCCCCGCCTCCTTGGGTGTTGTTTAATAGGACGCCTCTGGTTCTATGGAACCCAGTTTGGGAAACAGGCAAGTGTGGACCACCCACAGAGCTCCTTGCCCTGTGGGCGGGAAGACCCTCCTGATTTCCTGGAATATTGCAGGGAGATTTAACATTTCAAGGAAGTAATACTGGAAACAGCAGTGATGGGCAGCGGGATGCCTGTCCTCTGTCTTTCCTCCTCCTGCCTGCAGCCCTGCCCTTGTGGCCTCTTCCCCAGACTCAAAATGCTGCTCCCAGCAGCCTGCAGAGCTTAGTCCCCCAAATCAGACAACCTCACTGCTTTATAATGGTCCCCACTGGGTCCAAGGCACTACAGGGTAGGAACGATCAACAATTTATTTAGCACCTACTATGCGCCAGGCTCTATCCCAACCCAGACAACACATCATGAACAAGTCAAAGTCCCCATTCCCACAAAGTCCTGGAACCACGTGGTGGGGCTGTCAGGTGAAATGGAAGTCACTGAGGAGTCACCTTCTACATGGACACACACTATGGAGCTGGGTAGATTAGTAATGTCTGCTGTACAACGTGTGCCTGACTCTCCTGGACTGCATCGAGGGAAGAGGGATGGCAGGGAAAGGTGGAATTGTTTGAAGCACAATTACAAGCCTAACAGTAAGGGAATAGGAACAGGGCAACCTGGTTCTGTCTGGGAAGTCCTCAGCAGTAGGAGGCCAGCCCAACTCAGACAGCAGGACATGAGAGACATGCACCCCGCAGCCTTTCTGGGACAACCTAAATCTATTGGCCCTGGAGCCCCAAGTGCGTGCTTCCAGAGCCATTGGGTCTGGGTGGGCTGACATCACCTCCTGCCTCGAGGTGGGCACACAAGCCACACTGGCAATCCAGGAAGGTCACTGTGATTGATCATACCTAAAATTCTAAATTTCTAAGGTTGAGAGGGTTTATCTGGGAGGGGCAATCCCACTGGAGCAGCTCAGGGCACCCTCAAGGAGAATGGTTCAGACACAGAGGGCCACAAAGCCCAGAAATGCAAAAGCAACCTAATGACCCGTCTTAGCATCTAGATCCAGCCACACCTGAAGGAGTCAGTAAATGTCCTTTTTAAAGTTACTTTGAACTGATTTTTTTTTTTTTTACCCATTGCAGCCATAAGAATCTAGACCTATGCTCAGCCTTAAACTTGCTGTGTCATTTTATGTCAGTCTCTGCATCTCTCTGATACTGAACCATCAGAATAAAGGGAAGGATGCAAATGATGTGACATTTGAGGTCCCCCTTGCCTCCACCACAGCCCAGGCGCTCCCCTCATGCCCATCTCCACCCCCACCCTGACATACAGCAGGAGATGTGGAAATCAGCCCTTCTCACAAGTGAGTAAGTAGGCATCAGAAATGCCTAGGTCTCTATCAAAAAGTTCACAGGTCCCACCCTTGTGTGTAAATGCCAGGCCAGTCTCCATTCTCACGAGCTCTGGATGGTGTCTAAAACTGTGCCGGTCCAGGGACCTCCATCCTCTCAGCCTGGGTCAGGCTCCGTTCTACTCTTCCTGGTTGCTGAGATCAGGTGCCCAAGGCCAAAACAAGGCCCCTCTCCATCCTCAAAGCAGTTCTCCAAGAAGGGAAAACTCCACGTGGTTGCAAGGAGAAGCCAGTCTTTACATAAGGAGAGCACGGGGTCCCAGGTTTGAGTGCCTGCCCCTCGGGGCCAGCCCACTCTGAAATTGATCTAGACAGCAGGGAGGATGTAAGAGCAACAAAATGCCTCCCTGGGTTCCAGAGGCCCCGTGAGGGTCTCCCGGGAGCTGACAGCATCTCCCAAAGTCTCCCCCAGCAGGGAGCTGGCCAGGTCCCATTGTGGGCCTGGTGCCTGGGGCCACCCCGCTGTCTGCAGGGCCTGGCTGGCCCTGGGCTCTCCCCTGACTTACATCCGACTTGGCTGCCTGGAAAAGCCTCCTGTGGCTTTTGGACCACGGACACTGCTTAGTAAAAGGCTTCCCCCGCTAGCATCCTTTCCAAGGTGGCACTGGCCCAAAGAGCCTGGCTGGGCCAACTCCCAGCCCTGTGACCCTGGGCAAGTCACCTGCCTTCAGAGAGGCCTTGGGTTTTTCATAATGTAAAATGGGGGTAAGGGGGTCTTTTGTGAGGATGAAAGAGATGAATACTTACTCATTTTCAGTTTTGACAGGGGGTATGGGGATCTTTCTATGTTGTCCTATCTCTTGGCCTCAAGCCATCCTCCTGCCTCAGACTCCCAAGTTCTGGCACCACAGGTGTACCCACTGCACCAAGCCGTCACAGACTGGCTTTTAAAACCTAACAGGCAGAAAGTGCCCAGGAGCTGCCATTTTACTTCCTTCACTCCAATGTGGTCCCAGAACCAACAGTGACATGCCAGTCAGTTGGAAATACTGACTCTCAGGCCCCACATGGACCTACCATACAGGAAGAGGCATTTTAACAAGATCCCCATGAGAGCCGGGCATGGGAGACACATCTGTGGTCCCAGATTTTCCAGGCCGAGACAGGAGTATCACAAGTTCCAGGCCACCCTGGGTTACAGGGTGAGACCCTGTCTCAAAAATAAAAATAAAATAAATCCTAGGACTAGAGGTTTGGCTCAAGCGCCTGTCCAAGTTCAAACCCTAGTACCGCCAAAAAATAAAAATAAATAAATACAGAAATAAATCAATCCCTGGGGGAGGTCTACAAGACTCTGCATGTGAAGAGTGCTGGTATATGTTGCTATTATTATTGCTTTTGTTACAACATCCTGCCACATATGTAACCAAACCACCCCGCGAGCTGTTCCTGGATTCTGATCTCTAGGTCTAAGGTGGTGGCAGGGTATGAGGTCAAGAGTAATAAAATGCTGAGGAAGGGCAGGAAAATTTTCCTGGTGTCTCTCAGCCTCCGAACTAATGAGCCTGCGGGCAGCTCGGAGATGAGAAGGGACTAGACTGCTGTCATCCTGCAGTGAGACTTAGAGAGCAGTTATTACTGCCAGGAGCTGGTCACGGCCAAGGTAATAAAGCATGAAAACAGCATTCCAGGTGGCAGATTTGGGGCTTTCAGAAGAGTCTGGCTGCCTTTGTTCCTCTCTGCGGAAGGCTGAACCTTTTACATTCGAAGAAACCAAATTACCTCTGACTGGAGCGCACTGCCCACAACTCAAAGCAGAAGTTGGCACTGGAGCTACCCTAGAAGATGTAGCCCCTGCCTAGTGAGGAGGACACTGCCGGCTGCATGTGGAGGGTCTCATGGAGTAGCAGTGGTGTCCCTCACCCTGCATCAAAAACAAATCCATAAACACAGCGCGCCCTGCAGCACCCTGACCCAGCTGCACTCTGACCAGAGGCCTGGAACTCAGAGGGCTGTAAAAACGAAGTCAAGAAGTTGAAGTGCACGGTCATCACTCTCTACCACGCTGCACTCACTCAGCGCCCTTGCGTTAGCAGGAGATGAGCTCTTCCACCTGCCAGAATCAACCTTTATCTCTCAACCATCAAAAGTTTGCGGCAAGGAGTGGTTTGTTCCCAACCTATGGGACTTGGGGACAGCAAGGAGAACAAAGGGGCACCTGTTACTTGGCTCAGCTCTGCCACACCTTCACACTGCAGCCAGATGTGGCTGCAGAAAAGTCCCCCAGTGAAACACTACTGGCTCCAGTTCATAGCACACTGTGGAGTAGAGGGGCCAGAGGACGGAGTTCCATTCCCAGTGCCACAAGGAGAACAGAGCCATATCTGGCGGCCGAGAGCTGGCCTGGGTGGCTGTTCTCCAGACACTGGTACGTTTTTCAAGCCTGTAGCCTCGATGGGATACTTTTAAGACAAACTTCCTTCTACCAACAGTAAGTGGAAACAGAAACAACCTGCACACTACCTGCGGGAAGGGGCTAGCAGGTGTAGGTTTGGGGTTTTTTTCTCTTTTTCTTTTTAAAGGTCTGTTCTAATCTATATTCTTCTACCAGTGGAAGAAAAACCCACATTGTTCCCCAGAGAAAATGTTCCTTTCAAAAGTCAGTTGCTAGAGTTCTGTTCAGTGGGCCACTGGAACTCCAGTGCCCAAATTAGGACACTCCTCTCAGAGTGAGAGGACCAGAACATCTTCAAAAACAAGAGGACAACCGCATCCTTACAGGGGACCACGGGGACGGCAACCCATGTGGTGACCACAGCAGAGAGAGAAGGGGCTCTTCCCGGTTTATTCAGCAGGCATTTCCCTCAAACGCGAGGACCAGAGAGGGAAAAGGA